AATGTACTTTTACATCAGAATTGACAGTAGCCTATTTTGTTATTTCCTGCTTTTTGTCTGTACATTTGACAGCTTTGCTGCCTTGTTTATCTAAAAAGTTTATTACCTTCTAGTGCATTACAACTTGTTTAAAAATGGCCTTTGTATGCCTATTGAAAAAATGTGAAAAGCATGTAGCCATATAGATTACATAATGTGGGCCAAGTTAAGGGGAAATGGTCCTAAGAAAATCCATTTCAGGATATTTTTAATTTAATCTAGAAACATTGATGACTTAAGTACAAGGTTTTTTAGGATGCCAGAAAAAATTCAATATCTGTAGCCACTGTATCTGTTTTATCTATTTTGATTTAAATATGAAATTCATTGGTTGATGTTTGTTGGATAATATATTGCCAAATATATGTAACATTGCTTTGTTTTGTTGTTTTTATCCCTCATATAACTTGATTTTGAAGGTGGTTCATGTAAAACACCAAGCTGTATCCAAGAGAAGGGATTCTACCAGAGCTGTTGCTTTGGATGCAGAGAATAACAATATCCAGGTCAAGGACATTGTCAAGGTCATTGATGGCCCCCATTCTGTAAGTAAAAAGTTCCATGGCCTGATGGCCCTTTATGTTCACTGTCTTGGAATCTATTGTGAAACACATTTATTTTCACACTGTTTTTTCTGAGCATCACTTGAACATTTGCTTCTGGTATTTCTTATGTGAAAGTAATACTGCTTTGTACATTTTTGAGAGTTCAGTCAAATTTATAAAAAGGATCATTGGTACTATGTGTCGTGATCAACAAATTGATAGAAATATCACATTTCTAACATTGTTTACACATCACATTGTTATATAGAAATGTTTGACTCTGTTGTGATGTTAAAAAAAAGGATCCTTAAGTGTGGCTTATCGAAAGTTCCAATTTCTAGGGTCGTCAAGGTCAGATAAAGCACCTGTACCGTAGCTATGCATTCCTGTATTCTCGCATGATGACAGACAATGGAGGCATATTTGTGTGCAGGACCAGGCATTTAGTTCTGGCTGGAGGGTCCAAGGTATAGACCACATGAAGTACAACTGAAACTAAAATAATGTTTATGATTATGAATATCAGTAGGTTTACCAGCAAAGACACAAACGTAGAATTATTTAGTTTTCAACTCACATCCCATAGCTCTGAAACTGATATGTATGTTGTAATATAGAGATGTTATCAAGTAAGAAATAAAATTGTTTTTGTATTTGGCTAAATATCTAGTATTGAAATTATTACAACATACTTCTAAATATCTCTATCATTCCCACAGCATGATAAACTGAGATATGAAATTGATACAGTTTTTATTTGATTTCCCAGGTCACTTCTACAGGCCCCATGCTGGCAGGTTATATGTCTCCTCGCCTGTCCAGTCCTGCTCACCCCAGTGGTGGGGGTGGGGGTGCTGGGGGGCCAGGTGGCGCAGGGCGTGGCCGGGGAACCAGCAACAGGGATAGGGGTCTCATTGGACAGACTGTCAGGATCATTCAGGGCTCATATAAAGGTAAGCTTTTTGAGGGGTTGATGGTATTTCGTGTATTTAATGAAGAGTCTGCTTAGTTTGAGAAAAGATGTTGTACATTGTTGGAATATGGGTTGAATACTGGTTGAGATATATGAATGTAAACAAATGATGTCAGTTTTCCCTTTAAGATGCACCTGTGATGTAGTATGTTAAAGTGATTCCTATAAATGCAAGTGTCTGTGAAATTCTCCAGATATTGAATTTGATGACCAAAAAACATATTTCTATTGACACCTGAAAGTAGACTTAAAGTTCTACAAGAGATAAAGTTCTTAACATGACAGAAGGATTCCCTGATGGAGGTTTTATATTTTCAGGCCACTTTGTCAGTATCATTCGTGTACTATACTGTTATTGAACAAACTTTTCATAAGTTTAACCTTTATTTTCACTGTTTAGGTTACATTGGTATTGTCAAGGATGCCACAGATACTACTGCTAGAGTGGAGTTACATTCCAGCTGCAAAACCATCTCGGTGGATAAAACAAGAATACGTTCAGTTAGGTAAGCTCAGTTCAAGTTAAAATAATTGAGGTTTGCTAATGTGAACTTAATTTAATCTTGTTCTTTCTTGAATTACTTTTGTCACATGTTCTCGCAACATTTGTTTAAGTTCAAGGAATTGTTTAAGTTCAAGGAATTGTTCAGAGAGCCCGAGTTCACGCGTGTGAGGTAAGGACATCTGTCAAAGATGTAAATATCTAAATGAAATTTGATTTCCTGGATAGCAGGGTCTTATAGTACCCTAGGCTTTACAGCTTTAATACCCTGTATAAAATTTAATAAGATACATGAACAGTTCTGCATATAAGAACAATCATTGGACAGTTTTGAATAATGTATGACTTTCTATTGTTAAGTGTTAAAATGGTTTGAAAAAGAAAATTGTAATTTTTAAACAAATAATTTTAAAATATTGTATTCAGCCAGCCTGTATTCCCCAGGATTTTGGCATGAAAAAAAAAGGATTATGTTATATAAGTGCTGCCGACAGCTTTTAGTTTTTCCAGATGCTCATTAAAAGTGTTAATGAAATACAGGCAACTTGGGAGGTTTCTGCATAAAGATCCAGGAAAGGAAACAAAAAAAAAAATCTTTGAAACTTTGTGAAGACCTTCTCTAGACTTTGGCACCTTACTGCTAGTGCTAATAAATTAAAATACAATACCAAAATAGTGCTCAACATAGCAACTACAAATGCTTGTAAAGGTTTCATGAAAACTGGTGCTTACCTGCCAAGTAACCTCCATTGCTAGGTGATAAATAACTAATAAAAAAAACATAAAATCTTTGATTATGAAATTTACTTATTGTATAAAATTAACAAGTTCATGATAATGTCATCTATTATGAACTCAAATGGTGATTTGATTTTTTTTTTTTTTTGCAGTGATGGCCGTCCAGGTGGCGCTTCATCTTACACACCCAGGACGCCAATGTACGGAAGTGGTGGCCAGACCCCCATGTACGGCTCACGTACACCCATGTATGGCTCTCAGACACCCCTCCATGATGGCAGCAGAACCCCCCACTACGGCAGCCAGACCCCCTTACATGACGGTGGAGGAAGGACTCCTGCCTGGGATCCCACGCAGTCTAACACTCCTGCAAGGTGAGGGGTTGGAATCACTGTAGAGTGAATGGTTTGTGAATGGGCACAGAATCTTAATATTTTGAATAGGAAAATAGCATTGGCTTAGCTGATATGTAATCTAGCTGCCTGTCTGGTGGAAATATAAATTGTAATTATCATTTTTCTTTGAACATGCCATGGAGTTGGAAAGCCCTTCCTCACCTCTCTTGCAAACAAGAAGAAATTGCAGCCAGGAGCTGATATTTTCTCTCCATTAGTGTCACAGATTTCTTGGAAGTGTTGTCAAATTTGTAATTATCTACAAATGTTTTATGGCCACTTTTCTATTGATTTTTTAATAAAACAACAAAATTCTTTTGCACTGTCCCTTAAGGTATTTTAATCTAGTCTGAAAATATGTTTCTTAAACAAATGTTTCCAATAATTTTTTTTTTCATAAGCAGCCTTGATTGAAAAAAAAAATTTAAAAATGCATAAAACTTTGATGCATGTTTTTTTAATAGTGCTCAAAAGGACAAATTTCAGAATATCATTTTATGCCCAATGTTTATGTGTATTCTTGTCAAACTGACCCATAACTGACCCATTGGTATTTTTGTAGCAGTAAAATGGAAGATATTTCACATCATTTCAGTTGTAAGTGAATAGATGACTTCTCTTTTTGTTCAGGGCCAACGACTTTGAGTACAACTTCGATGAAGCATCCCCATCCCCTGCTGGTGTGGATTATGGCACACCTAACCCTGCCACCCCTGGGTATTCTGCTGACACCCCCAGTCCTGCAGGGGGGCCATACACCCCGCAGACCCCAGGGAGCAGTTACTCCTACCAATCCTCACCTTCTCCTGGAGGGTACACACGTAAGATGCATAGCAACTTGTACATTTTAGACTAATTGAAATGTTTTGATAGAACTGAGATTCACGTTATAAAAATTATATTACATATTATTAAGGCATTTTTTTCAATTACAGCTATCTGAATTGTGCATGTTAAAGCAAACATATATTGAGTCATGTGTATTGTATGCTTATGAAAAGCAAGAAAAATCAATCATTCATTTTACAAAGGTAAGTGAAGAATTCAATTCAGATTTTAGTTTTAATAGATCTGTGAGGTAAATATTGATATAATTTCTGACAAGTATTTGTTGGGTCTATCAATTCCAGCAAGCCCTGGAGGATACATCCCCACCCCGAGTCCTCAGGGGTATGGCAGTAACACACCATCCCCCTCTGGTTATGGTAGCACCCCATCACCCATGGGGTACAGTCCTATGACCCCCGGGGCACCATACACACCACAGACACCTGGAACAGGTAAAACTACAGGATATATGATTGAACAATTGAATTCTATTACTCTATTCTATTAACCTGTTGTAAGAAAGTAAGAGATCTTTGAAGACAGCCTCGCTTATAATTTTTTCAGTAATCTCCTTTAGTTTCTACTCACATTCAGTATAAAAAACGATAGCCTTCTGCTTTTTTATATTATGAAAAAAGAATAACACAGTGCAATTTGATTATCCCCTTTTGTGTCTAGCTGCGTCATAAAATATTTAACTTAAAAACCTCTAATCAAATAAAGCCCCAGACAGATTTTGAATGGCTTTAATTTTCCATTAATTTGACTGCAGAGCTTAACATGAGGCTTCAGCTAATATGCTAGACTGGAGATTTAAACTAAAAAAAAGGGGGGGGGGGGGGCTGTAAAGTAACTTCATTGGACAGTAATTTATGAAAGTGCAGTATTTATGTATGCCAGCCCTATAAGAGACCCTTATATGTTGCACTTCCATTATATAATGTCCAACTAAATATATTTGCCTAAAAAAGTGGAATCAAAAGAATCAAACTCTCATCATCTAGCCTTGGATGCATGAAGAAGGTGTATGCAGGGATGATGATATCAGCTTTTTTGTTCCAGGCATGGAGCATGGTGCTGCAGACTGGCATACCACTGACATAGAGACGAGAATCAAAGACACCCACGATGATCCTAACCTGATCCACCAGATAGGCGTCATAAGGGGAATCTCGGTAAGAACATGCGATGGGATGGTGATGATGTGAAACTGACATTTTACATATTTTATAAAGATCTTTTTTGGTTCTCTTTTTTTTTTTTCTTTATTTTATTATTATTATTATTATTATTATGAAGTAATATGTTTTTAGCATCACTGCTCCAGGCAATATTAGCTTTTGAATATGACTGCTTTATTTGATCAAATTAACATCGATATCCCTGTGTACCAAAGGCAATACCAGGTTGCAATGCTAATGGTGCTAAGTGGATTATTTTTGATAAATTACATTAGTGACTTTTTAAATCCACCTGATATATTTTCAAGACACAGCTTAGCAATTGTTCAGCTGAGTTAATTAAAAAGCAGTCATAAAAGGGTCATTGTTTGCCATAAGTTACGTTAGCACTTAATAACTTGATCAAGTTAGATAACATGTATTGGCACTGTTCCAGGCTGGCATGTGCTCCCTGTTCTTACCTGAAGATGAGAAGGTGATCACAGTGTCCTGTGAACAGCTGGAACCAGTGGTGCCCACTAAGGGGGACAGGGTGAGTTGAAGGAACATGATTTATGTGCACCCCCTCTTAGGTGAGGGGGTTAATTTTTATGTTATTGTACCACCAGCGTTAGCGCTGGCGATACACATGGTTTCGGTCCCGTCCGGATCGTCCCGTCCGGATCGTATNTGTCCCTTATTTTGTGTATGTGGGGGTCTACACGAATGCGCTTGCTCCAGCTGGTGGTACAATATTTGGAGGCGGTATCGCCTCTCTGATCCTCTAGTTTATTTATTGTTATTATTATTTGTGTGTGTGTGTGTGTGTGTGTTTGTGTATGTGTGTGTGTGAAAAATTGAAGATTTAAAAGTGAAGCATAAATTGCTACCTTTTAAAGACTTTTTTTACCTTTTGTGTAAGTTATACATAATGTATCACATTTTTTCCTTTATGATCTTTCATAGGTACAGTTTGTAAGTTTGATGTAATTTTAATCATTTTAAAAAGACTGGGTACTTTTGTATTGATTTAAAAGGTGTGGTGTTGCATTTTCCTGATAATGTAATATTTATTTCTCTACAGGTAAAAGTGATCATTGGTGAAGAAAGAGAGGCCTGTGGTCAGCTTCTGTCCATTGATGGCATGGAGGGAGTGGTCAAGACTGACCATGGAGACTTAAAAATGTTGCAGATGAGATGTCTTTGTAAGATGCCACCAGCCTGAAATGTGACTGGTTTAGTAAATCCAGAGACTTGTTGAGCTTTTACAACTGACTATACATAAAATTTATTCCCTGCAAGTGCTGCAAGCCCAAAAATAAAAACACACACATATATATAAGGGAAGTCACCTTTCCATAATCCCATGGGAAAAAGGACATGAGATTACTACTCTGACTATGAATTAGATTCTTCAAAAATTCACCAGCTTGTTCTCTAAGTAGAACATGTTTTAATTATGAAGTCACAGTGTTGTTAACAGAATGACACAAGTGAGGTTTTATTTCGTGTTAACCTGGGTTTGATTCTTGTGTAATAGACTCACACAGGAAAAGAGATTGACCGTATCACCTGCAGGCTATCACAGAATGTGTTTGTAATGACATCCTATTCGGAAATTGTAAATGTATTTTGATTAGCTTTAGATTAGTTTACAGGTTGAGTGGATTTTTGAATGAGAAAAATGTGGAAACTATTTTGTTGCCATTTACTGTTTTTGTAGTGTTCACTGACCAACACTTTTTGTAGCCCGAAAATTAGCATATGAATGTCATTTTTGAACCACTTATTTGTTTGAGGAGGCCATTTGGAAGTGACACTGTCAACCATTTTGAACGAATTTGATGGAGAATGCCTTGCTGTTATATTCATTTTATTTTTGTGTACTTTCACTGCTTATCATCTGCCAAAAGTACAAGAAAGATAGAAGTGTTACATCAGTCATTATAAACTATGAACTTATGTATGAGAAGGATTTGAAGGACAAATAAATGAAATGTAAAATAATTTTGGTCAAGCTTAAGCAAAACACACAGCTGTGAAAATGCACCGATTGACTCCCAAATTGAACAGAGGCAGAATGAAGAATATCCTGAGTCTGAGTCTATATAAATAATTAAAGCTAACTAACACGGGATACCATGATATAGGGATAATTTTACCTTTGAGCCTCTTATTTTAGCATTATAAAAAGTTTGTTTTTCTTTAAAATGAATACACTCGGGCTATTCTTTATTCTAGATTTCCGTAAAATTCCTTAAGTTCATCAAAATGCATTTGTGTTTGTGTGTGTATGTGTCAAATGAGCGTCTTGTCATATAATTGGGGATTCCCTAAAGCAGGAATTCCCTTACATTTCACAGAATAGAATTTCAGAATTTCAATTTTTCCTAACGTAATGGGAGAGAGTATCACAAAACTACAAGATTAATGATGAAGAGCACTGCATGCCTTATCTGAAATAGCGAAAATTCAGACACTCCTCCGTAGATGACAACATTTCCACGCTGCATTCATGTGCCGCTTCAAACATTTTACATCATTTCTCTCCAGTCGATGTTCTTGGTCAACAGACGTCTCCTAGCAGGAACACTTAGTCTTCGTATTGTCCAGTTTCTTTAACCAATGTGCTTCCTCTCGTCATTAATTTGCTGTACTCATTTATCTCCTCCATCCTGAGTCGTGCGAGATTAATTAAAGGCAGTAATGACAAACATGTACAATATACAGGTTGATTGCTATTTAGCTAGTAAGGACAGACAAAATTGATAAGTAGGTTAACGAGCGTAAGCCACGTTGATCACATTTTGCTCGCAATTGAGATAAGAATAGTTCTACCCGCTTTCTCCTGTATTCTTGATAGACTGGCTGAGGTCTCAAGAAGTAGACGCCGCGTAGATAATTAGACTAAGTCTATTCATTTTCTTATTCTAATTTTTGGACGAGAATTTAGGACAATTCACGTTTTCTATTTTGTGCTGTGACATATGAGGTCTCAAAATTATTACTCCTCCTGTAACAGAAACAGTTTATTTATACATTGGTGACAAATGTTAAAGGCAAACCCTGCTGTGCTCTCGCTTTATAGGCCTCCACGGCTTAAGTATATCAATGGTTCGAGGCACAATTATTAAAAAGGAAATTGTACTGTGCCAAGCGACGAGACAATGATATTGCGTAATAAAAAATACAAGTTATATGGCAGTGAATTTATTTATCCATTTATTTGTTTATTAAACAGTTGATCAGGAAAGCGGATGTCAAAATATATTTTTTATCAAACATAATAGTCATCAACGTGATGGTATCCAGAAAGTCTCATACTTACTTTGAATGATGTGCACCTTTCAAGTAATTTTCTTAACACCCACCCGCTTTTTCATAACTGCCCTTTTATCACACCGTTTTCCATGCCTTACAAAGACACAGCGGAAATGCTACTTCATACGGATTCGTTCACCGAAACAATTATCGATATGCGCCCACCAACGATATTTTGTATCACGAATTTCTGTACTGAATGTTTTCTAAAAGTTCAGTATTTGTTTACTAGTATTGAAGTTTGCTGTCTTCTTGAATAAAAAAAAAATCAAAATATGTTGTTACAAGGAACATCATTGTTCTCGTATTACAGTATTAGGATGAACTTGAGCTTCAGCATGTGAAAAGGGCCCCTTGCAACCCCACAAATGAAAAGATGTGCACTATTTGTTTTGACGTTTATTTTTATGATATAACATTACGCAATAACTAATTTAACATTATCCAATGCTATATAATAACTAACACAATTCTTTACTAGAGGGACCTTTCAATAAAAGCGGCCGCTATCGGCCAAATTTCGAACACTATATTTGTGTTTGTCATTTACTTTCGCTCGGGGTTAATGAGGAAACATAAAGTATGATATATCAGAAACGGTACATGTACACTGCTTCGGATATTTTATTATGATTGATCACTTTTGTTCATTTGTATAACAATAATAACCTTTCAATTACAGCATGTCTTTATCCTTTCGTTCAGTTCGCCGCAAGGACAGTTTATAAAATGTTGTTATCCTGGGTAGTATCTTTCAATAGTCTTAAGTTAGGAAACAATTAGTTTTGAAAAGCGACTCTGCATCGCGTGCTGATGTTGCAAAATTAACGAAAGGAAAAGGGAAGCCAAAAGAATGCAATAGCCTTGGAGGCAATAACAGCCAAGACAATTTCCCTTGCACTGAGGCCACTTGAGTAAGCGTCAGTTCAGCATTGATATGGCAAAAGTAAAAGGGAGCAAAAGTTCACAAACCTATATCAGTTTCTATTTCACGGATTGTTTTGTTGGGCTTCGAAGTGTTAGTAATTATTAGAACGCCCCTTCAATAAATGAAACCCGGAAGATATGTCATGGTAAATGAAAAAAGAAATTATATTCTAGAACTTTTGCAAATATCTGGAAGCCAAACCTTTATCCAGATCTAGGACCCATCAACTAACTTACATGGCCAGAAGGAAAGAAATAACGATAAAAAGCCCCAGTGCCCGCAAATCAATTAAGACCCATAAACGGGGGAACGACCACTTTTGAAATGACGTGCGCATGAATTAACTTGGAATCATATGGGATAGCGACCGTGTTTTGTTTTTGACAGAGTAAAGGGAGCGCCGGTAGAAATATGATTTACATACATAAATTTTAAAAAAAGCATTGAGCTTTAGGAGTAGGGTAGCGTCAGAGGATTATTAGCAATTAAAAAAAAAATATCCTCTAAGTTAGGTGAAACGCTTTCAAGGCATTTGTTATTCTAAGTCCGTTTTGACGGTACTGTTCTTGCTTTTTTTTTACACGTTCTTAGAGTTCAGTTGTTCATTTATCATCATCAGCTACAATAAAAGAAATCTTTTTTTATATTGGAAAGCGGGATGGGGGCGGTAATTCGACCCAGAACATTCGATCATCTCTGTAACAGTCCAGAGTGCTTTCTGTGAAGAAACGCGGAAGTATACGAATGGCCACACTAATGGACAGTGTAGGCATCATTTCAAACGAAATACAGTCGCTCCTTAGCAATCAAAGAAGGTCAATGGAAGATATTCCACATTAAAGCTACCGCAAGAACAATGCCACCTGTGACAACACAACGAGTTGAAATATAAAATGGACGACTTTGAACGGGTTAATCGCGGCTAATCGCCAAGTTTATCTTTGATGCTTGGCTTGAATGCTTTGACCGGAACAGGTAATTGTGGAGCTGAAGTCATTTGGTGCTAGGACAATTCTGTATTCCCCGATGAACTCTTTTTTTGTTTGCTATTTCCAGGAGTGATAAAGAGCGAGGAAAATTTACCGAACTGGGCAGCTTTTTAGAGCAAAAAGATCATAGAATGTAAACGAAAATATCAAGTGAATAGGTCTTTCATAGAGAATTGAAAAAATACATATTAGAAAAATACCTTATTTCGGTCATTTCACTTTGTTCAATAAAATGTCAGAAGTCATAGTGCGTAATCAAATTTATTTTATGCCGCAAAAAATTTTACACTTGAAAAGATATATGGAAACATCATAACAGATGATCTCGACAGCTGGTACCAACACAATTACTACATGAACTCACTGTAAACTGTTACGGCGTTTTATTGAGTGAAATGAAGACTAGGGCAATAGAATGTGGTTATTGTCAATTCTTACCATATGCAAATGGCAATATTTGTTTGATTAGCGAGGCCTTAATTCTACGTCTGGTAAGCGTTCATCAAAATAACCCTGTTTATTTTCAATCATGTATCGACGGCGGTATCTTGTGGGAAGCCGACAATGGTCTGTAAATATGTCATTGCCCGAGTAATCAATTTTTCACTTTTGTTATACACAGGGTTCTATCTAAATAATAATGTTGAGTATTAATTTGCTCTGTCTGTGATGAGAACTCGTAGGGTATCAATGTACCGCTTGGTCTGACAATGCAGAATATGCGTGGCCCTAGACTTCCGGAGCACTGGTGAAGACAGGTATGCCCACGGTATATGTCTTCTGCAAGCGCACTAGAACACGCTTACTTATTATTAACTGGTGTGTTTCTACAAGTTGCGACTGTAATGGAAGAAGTTTAGAGACGCAAAGATGTAGCTGTTGTGCTGTCCATATAGTCAGAACTGCTTAACTTAAGGAGGTCAGGAAACTATTTATGGCTAAATTATATCATTGAGTAAGATTTTCTAAACCTTATCAGAAATGGATTCATTTTTGAAAAGTAGCATAGAATATGAATACGTGATATCTACGTTCGTTTCTTGACTTGCCAATTACATTGAACCATAACTTACAAATGACTTGGCAAAAGATAGTAACGACATTAGTAATAGAGATGTTGGAGTAATAAATGAAAAATAAATACACTTAAGTTCGATTAGAGCTTAGTGGAAAGCTTAAAGTGATCCGTGGAATGTTTAGCCAACTTTGAGAACTTCCTTACTTTCAATATCAATAAATAGTTTGATTATACCATATAAATTAATATTTACATTTTATATACACTCCTATAATTATGAAACATCAAGAGGGCTCATCAATGAGCTACATTCAAATTCCTAGTCTTACTTTTCAACAAGCAGCTTAACGTGTCAGTATAAGAATAGTCTGATCAAGGACGGTTGTGGCAATTTATCATAAAGATACGTGCACTAGCTTAATCAACTTAATTGCCATTAATCCAATAAACATTAGGTTAATAGACATTAAACCTGTCCCAGAGATATAATACTCTAATATGAACTACGGCCAGCTGCTGGTGCCAAAAACCTCAGCAGTAAAGCAGGTCAGCTAAGTACTGCTGTTTTCGTTCAAGTTTCCGGGTTCTGCTTTCGTCAGTGAAGTTTTGCGGTTTACCTTGCCACCAGTGGCAATCTCACGGGCGTCTACTACGTATCTTCAACTAATCAGGAAGTTGGAGGCGCTCTTAATTTGACTAGTGGAGTATCATTTTGTTTTCCAGTAACATTCACTCCCAACTAACTGACAAC